TAAAATGACTGTTGTTCTACAAGGTAGTCATCCTGGGGGTTCTTCCACTTATTCCAATGAAAAGTATTGCTTTGGACAATACTGCTGAAAATTGTTCTGAATTCTTTTGCAGCTGCCTTGAGTTATCTTTTCTTTTTTTTTTTTGAGTGAGGCAATGGGATTAAGTGACTTGCCCAGAGGCCCTTAGTTGTCTTTAAGAGCCACCTAAAACCCCTCAGACTCCTTACTTGAGAATCATAACTCAAAATTTGTACCCACCTTGATCAAATTACTAGACTTGGCTCCATATGACTTTCGGCTATTCCCAAGAATCAACTTTGCCCTTGAAGGAGCCCTTGAATATACTCAAAGAATGTATAATTGGTTATGAGGGTAATTCCCAAAGAGGAACCACAGGGCTATTTGCTTCAATGGAATCATTGGGGAATTAAGGTGTCCCTCCAAGGTGAATATTTCGAAACAGGATAACATTCATTGGAATATCTAAAATTTTCTTTACCTTTTTTCTTCTTTCCATGTAATCTAATAAGCTAGATTAGATCTTCACACCTTGAAATGATGACTATTTTAATATAATTTTCCCAGAACTGCAATTGCTTCTAAAGTTCTTTAATTAAATGCCACATTTTTTTCAAATTTCACAAAAGCTGCATTTGTCATCCCAAGTTCAGAAATGCTCAGCCCCAGGAGGCTGCCCACCCAGTGATGACTTTTTCTTTTTGTTCCAGAAATTCATGAAGACTATCTAGTAGGACAGGAAGGTGGGGCCAACTGCACCACACTGAAATATTCCAATGGGATCATTTTCTTCCTGATCCTTCCTAGATTCTGAGGCCATTTAATCCCGGGTCTAATCATAAACCCTAAGAAGTAACACAAAAATAATGAACTTAGTCATTTTCCTTTTACCTCTCAGACAACTATACTCTGTCTTGAATTTCTTATCTTAACTGTGGCCCAGCTGAGTGCTGTGGCAATCTTTCCTCTCTGTCTTGTCCCAATATTTCAGCTTATGAAAAGGCATGAGTGGCTTGCTACTGAACTAAGGCAACTATATCCTGATGTACATCCAAGACCAAAGCAAAAAAAAATATATACCCAAACCAAAGCCACATTGCAAAATATGTGGATCATGGCGTGCTCAGGAAGTTAGCAGACACATAAGCACACTCTTGTCTCCAAAAAGGCAAGAAGAATATCATTTAGCAAGTTCCAGGCCTCGCACAGGAAGGTTGGGGTCTGGGTTTTTACCCTAAGTATGCTCTATCAAATGCCATGGTTTATGCCATACATAGGTCATCAGTACATTGGTGGTGGTATTGAAATGCCATGTTTTTCTCAAACTTCACAAACGCTACATTTGTGCATCTTTTTCCTTTTTTAAAAAAGTCACTCTCCTCAACCACAGTGACTTCATTGCTTCATCGGTTTCTGCAGCATCTTTTAGGAAGTTATTAAAAGGTTCTCCACAACCATTTCTGCACAACTGTTCCTTAGCTTTGATGAGGACCATCTTTTTATCTTTGCTATAAATGCTGCCTCTGTTTCCCAAGATTAGTGGCACTTCCCTGGAATGTACAGAGCTTTGCATACTGGGGAGTGGTTTTCTGTTTCTTGACAACCAGTTAAAAAAAAGTGACTTATTAGCCCACAGAAAATATTTGCCTCTCACCTGTTACAAAGGTTCATGGCTGTTCTGAACTACAGGAAAAAAGTACTGCATTTGGAGTCTGGGCTGGAATCTGGATTCTGCTTCTTACTGTCTATGTTGCCTTGCATAAGTCATTTTACTTTTATGGGCCTTAGTTTTTTCTAACGTGTAAAAGGACACAGTTGGACTTGTTCATTTTTAAGGTCTCTTCCAGTAGTATGTCAACGAATAAATGAAACTAAAGGCTTTTTTTTTTCTATCAGCATAGGATATTTACCCAATTATTGTGAGAAATGATGCTGGTAACATCTTTTGAGAACTAATAGAGCTTCAATATTTAAGACTTTTCACTAACTTTCATTTGATCAAATCCCTTTATGAATGGTAGTTTAAAATGTATGGCACCATAGCTGTTTAAAATAAAGCCTATGGCAGGGTTGAGGGGAGGGCCTCAGTACATCTAATCTAGTCAAAATTAAACCTAAAAAAGTTTGAAGAACAGGTCCAACCATTTCTTTAACCAGTTGCTATGAAGTAAAATGAGCTTTTTAGGGAACTGCCCAGTTTTTACAATTCCTTCTGAAGGTCCAATTCCAAAGAATCCTCATTAGAATATCGTGGATGCACTTTTCTAAGAAACTCTGGAAGGTATTTAATTGCTTTGCTAATCTTACTGGAAGGTGCTAAAGAGGCTGGTATTATCATTAACATTTTAAACTTGATGCACATGAGAACAGGGACTGAACCAAGGACTCTGGGCATGTTGTTATCTGCAAAAACAGGCCTCAGTCCCAGCTGCCTGATTAGAACAGAGCATGTATCCATTTAAGTATACGAGTATGGGAGGGAGGCAGGGGGACAGAAAGAGAGAAAAAGAGAGAGAGAGAGAGAGAGAGAGAGAGAGAGAGAGAGAGAGAGAGAGAGAGAGAGAGAGAGACAGAGACAGAGAGAGAGAGAGAGAGAGGGAGGGAGGGAGGAGAGGAGGGAGAGAGAGGGAGGGAGAGAGGGAGAGAGAGAGAGAGAGAAACCCAGAGAGACCCAAATAGAGACAGAGACAAAGAGAGACAGAGAGAGACAGAGAGAGAAAGCTAGAGACAGACAAACACACTCACAGAAAGTAGGAAGCTGATTTCAGTTCTAAGCCTTTAGAGCAGAGGTTCTTAACCTTTTTTGGGAATAATAGTTTGAGAATAATATTTTTAAATGAATAACTTCGCATACATAGGATTACAAAGGAAAACAATTCTACTGAAATAGTTATCAACAAACAATTAGAAAAAAAAGTTCATGCTCCCCCTCCAAACTTCGCTTTAAGGGAAAATCCTTCTAAAATAGATGAAAAATCATTATTAAATTTTTAAAAAAATACACTCTGATAATATCCTGAGAACTCAAAGCTACAAATTAGGTACAAAAAATCAGTCCTAGAACATCATAATAGTGATATTAATCATATTCTTAAAAGGTGAATTTACTTGCATATGAAATTATATATGTCATATAATTATATTTTTGCTCCTTTATCTTGTAATGTTTAAGTAATAACAAGAATCACGATAATGGTGATGAAGATAGTTTTATATACATGTATATTTCACTTTCAGGTTTACAAAAAAAAAGCCATGCCACTTAAAGCCACACAACATTCTCATCAGAATACCAATATCACTAAGGTTTACTTGTAGTCATGGTGGATAAAGCCAAACAAATATGTTGCTGCACCAGGAAGTATCTCCTACATTTCACCAAGTCCACGTCCCTTGGCCCAGATATTATGGGGGATATACATGCCAAGCAACCATGTGAGTTCCCTATTTGTATTGCTACTTTGCTCAACAACCCAGCATAAACATACAGCAAAAGCAGCCAAATGTCTACCTCATTCTATTAATCATAACAGTAATACAGAAACATAGTTGCATCCAAGTCGACAATAGTATTTATCTCACTTAGGAGGATTTTACTTAAAAGAATAAAATTCTTTCTATGCTGAAACAGATGAGAAAATTACTTAATCTACTTTGTAAAGGAAAAAAAAAAGAAACAAGTTCTTTATCTTGGAAGCCTTCCACATATCACACAAGCCTCCTGGGGAAGGAACCAAGATGTTCAGTGCTTCACTGGAAGCATTCTCCCTGGTGATTTCACTGGAAATCGGTAGCCTGCAGCCACGTACCCCCATGAGGGAAGTACTCCCTTGGCAGTGTGCCTTGGAAAGACACACCCCATCCCAGTCTCTGAAAGATCTCTCCAGCTTAACTCTGGCAACGTTTCCCTGTATTCAGCTGGAGGTTGAGTACTGTTCATTTTCTGCCCTGGTTATGCTAAATTCTCGTTTGTTTCAATCCTATCAAACTGGGATGAGGGAGTAAATGTAGTGGATAAATAATGTGGGATGAACACCTGCAGACATTAAAAATTAGTTTATTTTCTATTTTCATTCCAATGATAGCCTTTCTAGTTTAAAACTCATAAGGAAGTCACTTACTTATTGGCAACCCAGACCGGTGACTTTTCTGATATAAACAACTGCCCTTGGGGGTACTTCGTCCAGACTCATTTCACAAGGGCCAGTTAAATAGTCATCAGGAGGAAATAACTTTCAGTCCACAACGATGTGGGGACTGCTCATCTGAAAAGGTGTTTTACTCCATCTTCTTAGGGCTATTGCAGGGGATAGAGGTAGGCTGTTGAAATCATATGCAGCCTAGTGATATATGGTTGTCATAACAGGCAAGCTTCATTCTGATCGTACTTAAACAGTCTTTGAAATCAAATCACTGGAAAGACTTCAAAATAAGGCAAAAAAAATCCCATCTCTGTTGAAACCCAATAGCAATAAAATAACAACAGTAAAAGATGAAAGAGCTAATCGAGCCTAACCCTATCCCTTCGAATGCGATTCTAGTTGATGTAAAAGATTACAAGTTTGTGACATTTTGGAGCAAAGATGATCTGGACCAGTTCTTTAGTCCTTTCACAAAACTGTTCTCCTGTAAGGGAGGGAGGAAGCTGGAATAGAAGAGGAGCGGGGAAGGGAGAGGAGCAAGGAAAGAATGACTTTTTCCCCCCCTTCTACATAGCTACCACAGAATCTTCCCTTTCAATTTGCAATGCAGCTGTCAGGACCTTCAAAATGCACTGAAGCACACCTTTGGAGTTGGTGATAAATTTCTGTTATCCCACAAATCCTAACTGGCAAAGAGGTTTAAAAATTTGTGCAGATATTCTGTGGTCATTTGTGAAATTCAGTTCCTGTTAAAACCTTGAACAAAATTAGGCTTATCTCCTGCACGACAGTAGACAGACTCAACCACTCAGCACTCAGTTATTGAACACTCTCGACCAAGTATAACTTCCTGTGAGGGGCTGCTGCCTTAGGAGGGCAAAACAGTGAAGGAAACCTTACAGGGTAATTATCTTAGGCTCCCCTGGTCTAAAACTTTCTACTTTGCATAAAAGGAAATGGGGAAGTGCTGTCTCTGTCTCTCTGTCTCCTCTCTCCCCACTCCCTCCCTCCCTCTCTCTCTCTCCCTCTCTCCCTCTCTCCCTCTCTCTCTCTCTCTCTCTCTCTCTCTCTCTCTCTCTCTCTCTCTTCGCCCCCCCCACCTTCTTCTGGGTTATAATTATACTTCTCAAACTAGAAAAGGTCCTGACCAGATAGGAAGACAGGTGGTAACTAGAAACCGCAGTTTAAAAGCCTTTGGATGTGTTGTGTGTATGTGTATGTGTGTGTGTGTGTGTGTGTGTGTGTGTGTGTGTGTGTGTGTATGTGTGTGTGTCTGTGCGTGTGCGTGTGCATGCGCTTCATTTCTTTCTGAAACACAACCCCCAGCTATGAAGGAAAGTTAACGGAATGTCTGGTGGTTGTTTGATACACCGTACTGGCTATGATTCCCATGTTGATAAACTGGAGGAGAAAAATAAAATGAAGACAAGCTAAAATTACAAACTCAAAATATGACTTCCTGTTTCTTTTTTTTCTTGAAGATGTATATTTTAGGCAAGAGGTAAAGGGCAAGACTGAACAAAGAGTAAGTTTCTGAGGATAAAAATCCGTCATATTTCAGAGCTAATGGTCTAATTATGAACCTTTGCATAAACAAAATGAAGGTGGAAGGTGAGGATGGAAATGTAAGAAAAGGGGGGAAAAAGTCCGTTTTTGGGGGGAGGAGCAAAGCTTTGCAATGAGGAATTTATGGTAATTTTCATTATTAATCCAGCTCTCAGAACATTGCTGACACTTAAAGAAGCCATTAAATTTATGGTGCACTGTCAGCCTTAAGCAAATCCAAAGACTGTACCTTTAAAAATACATTTTACCTCAAGCATTACAGTTGAAAAACACACAATCTGAATTTTTGTGAGGTGGCAGAACAAATGACAAGGCCTGCTTATCTGTGTGACTTTGGTCAAGTTCTTTTGGCTTTATTTTGCTCATCTGATTAAAGTATTCTCTGAAATTAAGACAAAAGGAAGCCTGAAGATAGTCCCTGGCCAAATGAACAGAGAATGAAAAAAGGGAGGTAAACCTAGCCACAATGTTTTCAGCTATTCCTCTTAAGAGGGATTAAAGTTCAGCAAAGTACTGTCTTCAAGCTTCCCTGAACTAACAACTGCTTTTAACATAATTTTTCTTACACTTGGCATGAAGGGGGAAAAATTGGTCTACAAAAGCATTTCTCTTTCTTTCAAATTGTATAAGGATCATAACATCATTGGATCATCAATTTATAACTAGAAAGGACATTAAAGATCATCTAGTCTAATCTTTCTGTTTTATAAATGAGGAAACCAAGGCCTGGATTAAGTAACTTTGTTAGGATCACACAGGTAGTAATTTAGAAGAGGGATTTATTTAGCTTGCACACCAGAAAAAAGCAAGGAAGGTAAAAGACCACACAAATGCTCTTTTCAAAACCATAAAAACAGATTTGCTCCAGAATGTTGTATTTTATTTTTTTTATTGTTGCTTATCCGAGTGGTGACCAAAGAACAATTCAGCAGCCAATCAATACATGCTTCTTGTGGGCCTGGGGCAGTCTAGGTACCTACTGACTCTCTGTTGTCACTGGGTTGCCTGCTTTTTCTAAGCCATCTTGGAGTGCCCCCTCAGAATCTGAAGGGGTTTTTTAATGTTATTTCTTTCAAACCACCACAAATACTTTTGAAATACCTCTCTGGGTATTCTCAGACTGGTCACATAGTCATCTGATATCAGGAATGTTGATAACTTTTACATTTTAAAAATTGATATGATTGGGCCTGGTGTGAATCGAGGTGAACCAACAGGTGAAATCAGTATATTTACAGACAGTGATGATGCTAAATTTTAATTTTACCTATTCACTCATGTTCTCTGTAGATCATTCAATTTCTCTGTGCTTCATCTTTTTTAAAACACGAAACTGAAACTTATTACATATTGTTAAAAAGTGTACATTAAATTTAGCACGATAATAAAAAAGCCCTCCATTTGTCTGTGCCCCCTTCTGAAACTCCTGCTCTTAAATTTTTTTTGATGATATTTTATTCTCTCTTTTTTGCATCAGAATTATTCCCCCCAACTCCCTGCTCCACCAAAAAACAGTGCCTCCTTGTCAAAAGTAGAGTTTGAATAAAACCAATTCACACAACTGGTTATGTCAAAATGTATCTCTCATTGTACATCATCTTTTTGAAACCTGTAAGAAAAACTTTAATTTTGAGGTGAAATAAATGTACTTTGGAAATGTCAAATGATATAAAAATCATGCTAAATAAAAATTCTGAGGAATTAAAGGGAAAAAGCAAAGCTCTCTTCCTTTCTCCTTCCCTAGCCCTTGCCTACAAAGGCCCTGTGATGAAAATGAACAGAGAATGAAAAAAGGGAGGTAAACCTAGCATCTTCACACAGTTTTCAGCTATTCCTCTTAAGAGGGATTAAAGTTCAACAAAGTACTGTCTTCAAGCTTCCTCCCATCCTTGCCAGCTCATAGGTTGAGAAGGCTTGGGATTGAAACATGTTTCAGCTCTGTTGCAGCCACTGCTGAGATCCTGCTAGATAATGCTTTCTCCCTCACTAGAACTGGGTTTATCGGAGCAGAAGAGATGTATTTTACAGATAAAGACAACTTCCTCTAACTGCTGATTAGATAAGCAGGCTCAGTATCCGTATTCACAAGCCACACAGCTGAAGCACACTGCTCTTCTCCCTCCAATGCAGCCAAAGCTCAGAGCTTTCTCTTTCCATTCTGAAAAACCAGGGGCCTTGCATTTTCTTTGTAACCCTTTCCATTATGTAGCACAAGTGTTTAACACAGATATTTGCACAGCATCCAGGCTACACTCATCAAGGCAACAGTTTCAGAAAAAGCCCAAGTTGGAGGGAAAGCCAATATAGTGATATTCTTACAACTTCCAATTCTGCTGCGAGATTTGAGTATTAAGGAGTATTTTTTTTCTTCTAGTGAGCAGATCAGAGAACAAAACGTTCCGGATGTTCACCCTATCAATTCTCTGCTTTTCCAAGAACAAAATCTTGAAATCACTCCTTGTATTTTCTTGCTCTGGTTAAGGTAAGTCAAGTTCTAATCTAAAGCTATGGGCATGGAGACACATGGGTCCTCCAGGACTCTCAGAATCCACTTGTAGAGAACCATGAGCCTTCCTGAATGTTAGCTGGCAAGACAGGACGAGCAGCCACAAAGCTCTGGAATGGGACAGTTTACCACAGTTAAAGCAATGCCCATCACAACATAACAATAATCACCCCACTGGGCAGAGTATGTAGAGAACGGATGGATTTTAAGAGGTTACCCAAGCCATCGCATGTGGCAGGTGCCAGTTACATGAGTAGGTAAAGTGAATACTTAACGTGTCACAATGAAGTACAAATATACATGCATAAATAACACACACATATATATCTACGTACAATTTCATTGGTGTAGTTTCAACTTTTTGCTGACTTCAGAGTTTCCTAGTGTACAGATAGGCCGAATAATTTGCTCAGGGTTTCACGAGACAGTATGTGCCAAAGGTGGAAAGCAAAACCAGATTTTCTGGACTAGAGGCCAGCTATTTATCCAATACGCTAGGATTCCTCTCATACTGTACATATAACACACACACACACACACACACATGCTGACCCATCATAATAACTCACCTTTATATGAATTTAAAATTTATAAAGCACTTTCCTCACAAAAATCTATTTCAAATTCCCCAGCTATACTGAAGAAATTGAGATAAAGAGCAGTGAAATACATTACCATTTCATGGCTGAACCTCAAACTCAAGTCCTCCATATTAAATTCAGTGGGTTTTCCCCCTTACTACACCATTCTACCTCACATCCATATTGTTCCACCCTTTTTCTTATAATATCTCTTTCTAATCTAACAGGAAAATGTTAAGGGTCCTTGTCACCTGACATCTGGAGCAGGTTTTTATTTTTTCTTATTTATTTATTTTTTTTGTTGGAGTATGTTTTTAGATGAACATTTTCTTTTTGAGTTTAAAAATGTGATATCTAGCCAGTAATTCTAACTTCATCCTACAAAAGATATTTCTTACAATTGATTATTTCCACCCCCAATCCAATAGTTCTCAGGATAACATTGAGTACATGTTCTACTTTTATATTGTAATTATAAAAGATGAATAAATTTAGGACTAACAGGGCTGCCTAAGGGGTTTTAGGCTGTATCCCACATAAACCACCTCAGATAGATAAGAATCTATCTTTTTTTAACACAAGGAAAAGAAATTATCTGGTCACAAATAGTAAACTTTTCATTTGATCCAACCCAATCCAATCCAGTATCTATTAAATGGCCACCTCAACCTCAATTAACTTTCACTTGTCAGGCAATTCTTTGCATCTGACATGAATCCATCATGCTTCAGTATAAACCACCTTTTTCTTTTGTGCAGACTTGGTTAAAACAGCAGACAATGGATCTTCCTCCTTTACAACAACCATCTTCTCTCAGCCTTCCTTTTCCTGTGTGGCATAGCTAAACAACATTGCTTCACCTTTTTGTAGGCCTTTTTTTCCCTCTCTTCACTTTGTGGTTCTTGGACTCCAGTTTAGGTTTCTCTACTGAACTCCATTTCATTTGAGTCCAGATTAAAACAAAGTACTGCATACACGTTTTACCAACCCTATTATCTATCAATTAAATCCTCCCTCTGACACAGCTTCCCCCAAGAAGGTATGTACAGACACCAACCATCAGCACCAATTCTAACTGATAATTTTGGTTCTAATCCCCAAAATTCAAAGTATTTATTTAAAATAGGACAAAACTTTACACTTGCCAATGTCAAGCTAAATTATATTGATCAAATCTGCTAGGAAGAAAAGTTACATTGATCCTATCTTCTGTTTTTAAAGTTGTTGGTGATTGTTACACCCATGTTTCTACTCCCATATTTGTCTGGGTTAATCTTCCATATAATTTTAGGGATTTTTCCTAGCCCCCTTTAAAAGATAAATATGTTACCAGTTTAATTCCATCAAAATTCAAAACTTTGTTCAATTTTTTTCATATTACTTCATTTTTATTAAATTTACCCAATTCTTCATAAGATCTTGGAGAATGACTACCGGTGTCTCTGAAATGACTTTGGTCATAGAAATGACCTCACTGAATATCAATGAAACCTGTAGCTTTTCAGTGGGTCATTTTCTACACTACTTTCTACACTAACTTTCCATTCTCCCTGTTGTCTTTGCTTCTTTGTTCACATGATCACAGAATTAGACATTTAGATCTAGAAGGGACCTTAGCAAACAACTCCCTCTTTTTACAGATGAGCAAACAGAAGCTCCAAAAGTTTAAATGATTTGCCTGTGGTCACACATCTAATAAGTTTCAAAGAAAGGAGTGTAATTCCACCACTTTGTCCAGACGAAAATAAACTTTTAACCTTTTTGGTGCTATTTGTTAACAATTTTTTCTCCTTCAAAGTGAGAAGGTGTTTACCCCCTTTATACTGAAAGATTAATTTTCTATTTCCTTTTTGTTTTATAAATTGAATCACTGATTTTTAAGCTATTTTCCATATTCTAACAATTTCTTGCTTTTTAAAATAAGAATAATGGCTTACATTTTCATAGTACTTTAGATTATAAATCACTTGCACCTTTGTCATCTATTTTATTCTTACGATATTCTTGAATGGTAGGTAGTACAAGTATTGTTTACCTCATTTTACAGAGAAGGAAATTAAGACTTAATAAAGTTAGGTGACTCACACTTGGGTTCAAAAATCTGACTTCACAAGCATAGGATAGGGGAGTTTAACTACTTCATCACTAAGGTCCTTTCCAATTAAAAAATCTGGTGATTTGCCAAAGCTCATCCAGCCAGTTAATTTTGAAGTCATGGATGAAACTCAGGTGTTCTGTAGAGTGGAAAGAATTCTGTATTTGAAGGCAGAAGACTTGGGTTCAAACTCCAGTATTTGACCTTAAAGAAGTCAAAACTTTTCTTTCTCTATAAAATGAGAAAGTTGGATTATCAAATCCAACTCAAATCCATCTCAAATAGATCTTCCAGCTCTAAAATCTATAATTCTAGGACTCTGGTCCTGATGACCCTGATTTTCCTTCTTTGAAAATGATTTTCATTCCTTTATTGGTATTCAAGATCTCATTGATTCTATAATTGCTTTCTATGTATTATATCATTACATGATAGAAAAAAAATTTAATAGGTCATAATATTTTGCTGGACACAGGAATTTTTAAAATATTTCTGAGTTTAGTTCACCAGTTTTTAAAAAATGCCTTGTTTATCCAATTTTATTTCTTGTAAATTAATTTCTTTCAGTTTCTTTCCACAAATTTGCCATCCATGATTTTTTTTTTTTGTTTCCTTCTGTGGACTCCAGACTTTATTTTCTTCTACAATTCCATGGATCCTCTCTGCCCTGAAAATATACTTAAAATATTATTTTCTTCATAATATCTAACATGGACCTGTCTAAAGGGATAAAAATCACAGGATGAGAAAGCATGAATGAGCTGCAATTTGCACTAATTAAAGTAATAAACACAAAGCTGGATCCATCAACTGTCACCCAATGTTGTTACTTTAACTATTATTTGAGAGAGAGACAGAGAGAGAGAGAAGAAGAAGGAGGAGGAGGAGGAGGAGGAAAGGAAGGAAGGAAGGAAGGAGGAAGAAAGAAAGAAAGAAAGAAAGAAAGAAAGAAAGAAAGAAAGAAAGAAAGAAAGAAAGAAAGAAAGAAAGAAAGAAAGAAAGTGAAAGGGTACCCAGAAATGTTTTTAATGTTCAAAACCTGATGACCAACTTTATGAAAAGTATGAATTCCCAAATGGCTGAGCAGAATGAAACTATTAAATATAATTGAGTTGCACTGGCTGAATGGCACTAAAAAGTGAACAAATTCATTCAAAAGCCTGGCTGGCCTTGAACAGTGAGAGCATATTTCCATGCTTAAAACAAACTCTCCAATAAATGACTATGCTGAACTCTGTGCTGATTGGATCTTTACAAGGGTTGGACATGAGTCATTCCAATTACTTTATAGGCTAGAAAAGCAGACTTATTCTTTAAGATTTCATAAAATGGATTTAGTTGTCTAAATAGATAGAGGTTGGAACTGTGATTTCCTTTGTATAAGGTACTCTCAGGTGAGGAAATGCTACTAAAACAGGACAGCACCTTCTCTTCATCTCAGAGTCTCAGAGAGCTACTTAGAGCAGAGGTGTCAAATAGCCCACCTGCCTGCTACACATGGCCTACACCACTCCTGAGTGCTGCCTGAATTGGGAAATATTTAACAGAATAACTAAAAATACAATAACACATGGATAATATTAATATGGAGCTAATTCAATATGGAGCCTGCAGGGACCCTTATGTATGTTTGAATGGCACCTCTGGACATTTCTCTTTGAGTCTGACCTAGAGCGCTGAAAGATAAAATGACTAACCCAGAGTCACATAACCCTTATGTGTGTTAGGTGGAACTTGAACCTGGATTAAATATAAAACAGTACACAAATGGGCTTATTTGTAAATGCCTGCATCTCATTGTTGACCAGTAAGAAAAACGGGATTCACGTGTTTTTTGCTTAACTCCCCTCCCCTGCACCATTTAGCTTTTTTGAATGATTTCAGAAATCCCTTTGATATGGTGACTTAGGATCATAGATTTGGAGCTTGAAAGAGCCTCAGAGACCATCTGTTCAAACCCTCCCATTTTAAAGAGAAGAAAACTTAGTCCTAGAGTCTGATTTGCCAAAGATCACACAGGAGTATGGGCAGACATGGATTCGAACCTAGGTCCTTTGATTTCAAATGCAGTATTTTTTCACTGCAGTATGTTGCCTCTTTAATATTAATATGATGAAATCATTTTTGTTTGTTTGTTTCTCAGCCATGAAAATATCTGGCCTAATTTTGTCTTTCTGTGTGGTAGCAGGAGTGAAGGATATCTACTATGTGATAGGGTCATGACTGCTTAGTTATTTCATACTAAGGACCTAAGAAAATACAGACAATTCTTGCCTTATGTAAATTCACATTATGCAAATTCAACTTTACGGAAAGAATTCTGAAAGAAATCCACATTCCAAAAAACCACATCTATGTTAACTTTACTGTACAACACTGTCCTCTCTCTCTACTCCTGCCCTTCTAATTGGACCTCCTCAGCCTCCAATCTCCCCTCAAAACCCTAAAAAAGCCCTTTCATGAAAGCAGAAGAATACATGTGGAGAGACCACCCCCCACCTCCCTAAGAGGGGGCTTTGCTTGAGACCTCTGAAGCTAAGAGAAAAGACCTTTGCTCTACTCTGCCCGTCTGCCCAGTAAGTCCCTCCAGACCCATATCTGTCTTCCATCTCTCTAGGCTCAGTAGGCGTGTCTGTGCAGGCCTTGACAAGTTTGCCTACCGCACGTTCTTCCTTGCTTCAGGCCTGGCCCCCCAAGTGGCTGGCCCTGCCCATGAGCATTTCTCCTCTAGCTCTCGCTTCTCTGTCCTGCCCCTGTGTCCTTGAACCATGTGCCAACCTATCTCCCTCCATCCCTCCCCCACATTCTTGGGCAAATCTGCATTTCATAAAAATTGCTTTTAGTAGAGGTCTATTAGTCTACTTATATACAGCGAGAATTGTCGAAAGTGTATGTGCTCTTTACCAGTATGATGGAAATAATACAAAGTTAGATTTAAAATATGATGATGACCAATGTTAAAATCCTTTATCACACCCTAATAGAGTTATCCTCAGGCAGATGACCTACAGGTGACTATTACCACTTTAGATACATCTCAACCTAATGTCATCTGAACCAGAATGGATTTTTTGTTTGCACTTACACGTGGTTCATTAGCAGAGATGGACCCAAGGAGGAAACAGATTCTCTTGGAGATGTTCATTTCACAGCAGATGAGAAAGTGTCATAATATCCTAAGAAATTCTTTCAGTATGATGTTGAGACTTCTGATCATTTAGTGATGTTGGTGATACTTGCATTAAGTTTTGATCACCTACCCAAGAGTCGCAAATTTCTGAAGTCTGCCTTTGTCCTCTAGCCTCAGAGATTTATGACCTCTTATCTTATACCTTCTGAAAAGTATTCTATTACTTATGTGCTGAGCAGCAGAGATTTTTCAAGTGTGATTTAGAGTCTACAACAGTGATACTTAAATCATATTTTTCAAAATCAAAATTGTCTCATGTGAAAGCCAACTCCCAGCTTGTATGTATGATTCCACCCTACACCTTCCACAAAGTGTTTCCCAGGGAAAAAAAATTCTGAATTTTAGTACTCTGATCTCTAAAGTAAAGTTTTGACCCTTGGCTGCATATAAAGGCTAGTTTGGAGAGTTTTGGGAATAGGAATGATTGTCCTTTGAAAGAGAGACAGGAGAATTTTTAGAATTAAATACTCTGTAATTGTTGTTTTTAAAAAAAGTATCATGAGAACAGTGTATCAGGGAGACTATCTTACCCAAAACTCTTTCATTCTTAGAATTCTGCTGTCCTCCTGAAGTGGTAGAAAGATCTTCTGGTACAGGCATAGGTTCATCTGAATCATCAGGTACATCACTTACTGAAGGACTTTCCTTTCCTGAGAAGATAAAAAGTAGTCCCTATTAGAGTGGCTGGTCATTGCCTGAAAGGTTGGCACATTACCAATGGCAGAGCCTCCCTGAGCTTTTGCCATGAAGAGTTCACTATGCAAAACATAGCAAGATATCCATGGGATATTGCTTCCTTATTCTTAAGGATACTCAATTAGGCATCCTGAAAAGAGAAATTATGTTGGATACAGAAGTACCTGTAATCCAATCTAATTTGTGGGATAAGAGATGGTAGAGAAAGGTGTCATTTATTGTGCCATCAATTTTCTCTCCTATATAGCTGACTGTCTTGTTGCTCAATAATACAAATAAATCCTTATGATATTGACAATGTCTGAAATAGGCAAGAGGAAAACAAGGCAGCCTAGCTTATGAACTGCATATCATATTTTACAAAGGAGCATGTATACAACACAACCTATAAAAGTCTTTTTGTAAGTAAACTACAAAGATGTAGTCTGGATGGTGTTATGGTAATGTGTATTTAAAGAGTAGTGAATGAAGGATCAATATCAGCCTAGAGGGAGGTCATTAACGGATTGCCATAGAACTCTTCTCTTGGACCTAGTCTCTTTAGTATTTCTTTCAGTGACTTGGAGAAGACACAGATGGTATATCTATCAGATCTGTTGATGATGAAGCAATTAGGGATACCTGATGTACAGGATGAAAGAACGTGGATAAAAAATAACATCCTGACAGACTAGAATGATGGACTAAATCCTTTAGGTAAAATTTAAGTGATAAAGGTAAATTCCAACACTTGGATTAAAAAAAAATGTACAATGCAAATACAGAATTAGGGAGGCTTGCCTGGAAAACAGTTCATATGAAAATGATATAAGGGATTTTAATAAGTTAGGCATTTATTATTACATTTGGCTTTTAAAGCCATTCAATATTTAGTCTATTTCTAGTCTTATACTTTACTCTCCTCCACATACTGTACAATCCAATGACTCTGGTCACTTTGCTGTTTCTTGCACAAGATAGTTCATCCCCTGCATTTTTCTTGTATGTTACCTGTGCCTGAAATGCCTTTCCCCCTCACCTGTACCTCCTGGCTTCTTTCCTGAAATTCCACCTTCTGCTAGAAGGTTTTCATGGTCTTCCTTAATTTTAGTGTCTTCTCTTTGAGGTTATGTCCAATTTATCCTATATATATCTTCTTTGTTTGTAGTTATTTCCATGTTGTCTCCTCCCATTAGACTGTTAAGCTTCTTTAGGGCAGGGGCTATTTTTGTCTTTGTATCCTCAGTACTTAGCAGAGGGACTGGCATGTAATAGGCATTTGATAAATGCTTGGTGACTTCATATATCATGCCCTAGTATGTGCCATGCATGTCTTGATGATGCATAGTGAACTGTATATTCATTAAGGGTTAAGAGCGTGGTTTCAAAAGGGTGATGCAAACTTAGGCTGCATCAATAGATGCACTCTGTCTTTTCCAAACAAAAAAGCGGCAAGAGTTCTACTGCACTCTGCCCTTGTCAGTCTATATCTCTTTCAGTCTGCACACCATATTTTAAGAACACTGACAAGCAGAAAAGAACTCTAATGAGGTCGACTCGCACGGGCAGGAAATACAAAACCATGCTAAAAGAGAAGCAGTTGAAGGAACTGAAGATGTTTAGACTAGAGAAGATGATCAGAAAAGACATAAGAGATGCCTTCAAGTACTTGAAGGAAGAGATATTAGTCCTATATTGGTTGGTCCCAGAGGGCAGAATTAAGACCAATGAAAATAGAAATATCCAACCATGGAGCAGGCTGCTTTAGTAGGTAGTGAGTTCTGAAGGTCTTCAAGTAGAGATTTAATGGCCCTTGGTTGAGATGTTGAAGAAAGCAGTCCCATTTTTGGGATGTGCTAGAGTTAAGGTCGACCTATCTTTGAACTCACAAGTTCTGAGATTCTAAATCCATCAAGATATGGCGGAGAAGGTGTCATCCTTGTACTGAGCTAGGCTCCCACTAGTACCAGCCACTTTCATAATCCACTTAAATTCAGGACCTTTCTCAAAAACTCTGGGTAGACAGGCAGGTAGTAAAATAAGAATCCAAACACGGGTGTCACTACAACCTTTCCAAAATAAGTCATTACCCATACTCACTATTTGCAAACCAGTGAAAGTATTCTTTAAAGTCCACCATCTATCTCAGTACAGAATATTGAAGTTTTAATTGAAATAAAATACTCTTACCTCTCTGTTGTTGAAAGGCAATGACAATGTATTTGAATAAAAGGATAGTTAAGTGACCTGGGTTCTAGTCCCAACTTTGTCATTTGCTTACTCCATGACTGTGACCTTAGACAAGCCACTTATCTTCTGCCCTTTAGTTTTCTCATCTATACAATGAGAAATATAGTGTTTGTTCTACCTATTTCATGGTAGCACACAGTAGGCACTTAAGTGTTTGTTGAATTTAGCTTGATTTTTTTGAGACTTGGTCTTCTTATCTCACTTGGGTTAGAAGAACAGCAGCCACTCATGGACATGATCCCAATACTGATTGACAAAGAAGCTTTAACCTGCTCTGTTTTTCCAACCTGGGCCAGTATGTCCTTCTTTCGGCAGCCTGGTGGCCTTCTACTTCCAAGGCCTCACCATATCCCATAGCCCTACTGTAGCTAAGAAATCCTGAAATCATGCAGTTCATCGGCCTCAACCTTCTGAGCAACAAAGACTACGGTGTGCAGTAACCCAGTTGGCCCACTTGGCACTGTTGAGTGAATTTTAAGGAAAGTGGTTTGTAATGCCAGAAAATGCTATGTGTCAACTATTGTTAATTTCCAAAAAAAAAAATGTTAATGAGGATATTCCAGTACTCATAGTCATAGAAACTTTTGGATAGGTCAACAGGATGTTGAGCCAGAAGAGACTTTAATAGACATCTAATTCACTCCCATATGAGTAGACTTGAGGCCCAGAGGGCAAAGTGATTTCCTCAAGGTGCAAGGCAAATGCAACTTTATGCCTTTCCCCATCATTAGTAAGGTTTTAGTGTAAAAGGTTTCAATTCATTCTATCCTGTGCTTAGTTAATAAAAATGATTATTAGAGTTAGTTCATACTTGAAGAATACATAAGATTTTCCTAAACAATTTCTCAGAGTACATAAAATGATGTATGTGGTACAGAGGGTTTGGCAGTAGAATTGAGGAAAACAGCTATAAAATTTAAAATTTATTAGAAATGTTGTAACAATGATGTTTCAGAGTTGTAATAATGATGTTTCAAAGTTTATTTTACTAGACTGAATTAACTAGATAATTGTCTAATTCTTAATTCAGTACCTTCAGAGATGATAAGAAAAGTTATGTCTGATCACATATATGGTAACCATTTTACCTAACATATGCTTTCATTCATTCAAAAAGCATTAAGTGTCTACTCAGTATTTATATGTATGTTATGGTACTGCCTGCTTCTTCTGGGTTTCTCATAATGCCAGCCACCTGCAGCCTCAAGGCCACAAATCCTTTTATTAAGGGGATTTGTTCTGTGAAGTTTGGATTCAGTCAAAGAGCCGCACTTGAGGCCCTAGAGGGCCAAATGTTGGCTTGAGACTGCAGGTTCTCCACTCCTGATCTACATAACCATAACAGTTGATGGCATCATGAGAAACTGTAGAAGACAGAGCACTGCATTTGGAGTTGGAGGAAATGGCTTCAGATTGTAGTTCTGGCACTTACTAGCTGGATGACTTTAAGCACGTTAACCTGGTTAAGTCTTACTTCCTTTACCTATAAAATGAGGGGGCTGGACTGCATGGTCTGTACTGCTTCTTTAATCTCTAAATTTGGGAGAAGAAAATATGGCTCTGAAAAAGAAGTCAGATGACCTGGATTCTAATCCTACCTCCATTACTTAAACCTGTGTGATCTTGAGCAAGTCACTTAAATTACCTCTGAGCTGCAGTTTTCTAACTCTCAAACTTTTGATCCTAAGAAAATATTATACAATTTATTTCATTATAGAAGTTGCAATTTAATTGGAAGGGGGGTTCAAATGTATGTACTTAAAACTAGCAAAGGATATAAGCATGTCCTCATTATCTTACCCCCTAAACCCACCCTTCCAACAATGCAATACTATAATACATTGAAGTAAAAGGCCTCATCTGCATGAAGGAGGGTTAGGCAAGGAAGGCCTTTTGGAATTGGAGCATTTTGAGAAAAGATATAATGAAAGTGATGGACAAAGATTAGAAGGGAATTCCAAATGGAAGATCAGAAAGGCACAGGAGTGGGTTGTTTGACCAACTTGAGCAATTACTTGGCTGAAATAAACAGCAAATTTAGTTGGCATCTAAAATAGTTGGTCCTACATGGATGCAGTTCAAGTCTTCAGGTAATATATGATTATGAGGAATACTGTAAATAGCACTAATCATCTGATATATATATATATATATATATATATATTTATATCTGATGTTTATTTTAATATATCAGTCTTTCAGAAACCTTTATTGAGCACCTACACTATGCAGTGTACTATACTAGGCACCAAGAGAAGTAAAGATAAATTTATCCTGCCTTTGAGGAGTTTATAGTCTATTTGTGTATAATAAAATGAAAATAGTAATAAAAGAGAATTGTCACTTTGTCATAACTTTTCAGGAAATATGGAAAGTCTTTTTCTGCATTTATTTTAAAACCAGAATAGTCAAATGGTCTGAGAATATAAGAATAGGGAACAGTGCTGCATACTTCAGGATATGGAGAACAAATTTTATACTACCGTTTTAGCTGAATTACAACTGGCGTATTTTCAGGAAAAACATTATTAGGTCTATCTGGATCTTCTAGACCTAAGACGAATTGTTAAAGAAAGCTTAGAAGTGTAAGAATTTCCCAAGGAAAAGCAAAAGGCCAGAAAGAAAACTGAAGTGCTTTTATGTTACTAAAGGTTTGTTATGATGTGCATTATGTCTAGCAATTGTCACTGCCTTAAATAGAACTTAAGAGTAAAAACAGCTGAATGGCTTATAATTATTGTTCAGCAACTTATAATTATGATCACAACACAAACTGGGAAAAATCTGAAATTGAGAAAGAAGAAAAATTCTATGAACCACTTAACCACTTTCTTTTTGTTGAAACCATTCACATTTATGTAGCAAGAGATTGTCCTGTCCCTTTGAGTCATAGGTGCCTGAGCTGGAAGTACATGCCAAGGGATACCTAGAACTAGAACATGGTCATTCAAGGCTACAATAAAACTGCCACATCATCCAGATGCCCAAGAAATATAAAGGAGCTGATAACATCGTTCACTGGAGGAGAAACTAAACATTGAGAAGCAGCAAAGAAGAAATGTGTGGCAACAGTGATGAGAAAATCCCTATTGGAAAGGTAGAACAGTACAGTCCAATATGGAGAGCAGAAATATGAAAGTATCAACGTGGAGAAGAAAAACCTAGCCTCTCCCCCTTCTGGAATCCCACCCAAGGTAGTAAAAGGGACTGACTGTACAGAGTCATAGGGGAGAGCAATCCAATAAGGCGGGTTTTCTCATGATTCTTCAACAACTCAGATACGAATCTTTCCTGTGTAGGCAAAAGCTGTTCTATATTTTGAAGTTTTGCGAGATTCAGTGCTTTTAAGGAGACCCTGAAGAAATGTTAAATACTGTGGTTCTCAGTCTCAAATATTAGTGAGAGCAATTAGCCAAAGACTTGATGTCCTCAAAATATAACCAGGCCCTTTCATATCAGATGAGAATTACTGTCATAAGAGTTACATTTAGTATGTACATTTAGCACTTTAAGATAACAAAGGGCTTTGCAATCAATGTTATACTCAGAAGAAAACTTGAGGTCCAACCTCTCACTTTAGATATGAAGAAAATGAGACTTCAACACTTGTGTAAGTCACATAATTAATAAATGGTTTAGCCAACATATTAATCCAGGTCTTCTGATTTCAAATCCAAGGCTGTTGGCATTACAGAAAAGGAAATTGAGACTCATTTGTTGGGTTATTTGGTCACCTAGCTAGTAAAAAGCAAAGTCTCTCTTTTTTTTCTTCTTTTTCTCCTAAAGGGAAAAAAAAGTGTTTATACTTCTTGCCTCAACTTCCTTACCTCCCCTTCACTTTGCAATCAGGCCTCTGACCACACCCCTACACTGAAACTGATTTCTCTAAGGTTACCAAATAATTTCTTAATTGCTAAATCCTATGGTCTTTTCTCAGTCCTCATCCTTCCCTCCCTCCCTCTCTCTCTCTCTCTCTCTCTCTCTCTCTCTCTCTCTCTCTCTCTCTCTTTTTGCAGAATTTGCTCTTGCTGACCACCTCCTCCTTCTCAATCCTCTCTCCCTCTTCAGCTATGTGGCTTTCCTTTCTAAAATGGTTTTCCTCCTACATAGCTGGCTCCCATTTCTCAGTTTCCTTTACTTCTATCTCCCTTTCCTTTTAAACAGGTATCCCCCAAGGCTCTACCATTGATCCTTTTTCTGTCTCTACCTTTTCCTGATCAGTTGTCTCATGAGGGGCAATGGATTCAGTGATCATCTCTATGCAGATGACTCCTAAATCTTTATCTCAGTCCTAATTTCTTTCCTGACTTCAGCCCTACATCTTTCTTGCCTTTGGCTGTCTCATAGGAATCTCAAACGGAACACCTACAAACAGAACTCATTATCCTTACCCTCTAAACTTACCTCTCCACCAAACTTCTCTATTTCTGTTGAGGCCAGCACCATCTTTTCTGTCACCCAGATTCTCAACACTCAACTATCCTCAATTTTTGCTTCTTCTTTGCCCCTCTAATCTAGAGACCCAATTTTTGTTGGACTTGCCTCTATATCTCTCATTGTCTCCACTCATATGGCCACCGCCTTAATTCAAGCCTCCACCAACTCTTGTTTGGATTACTGCAACATTCTCATAACTGCTCTCCCTTCTTCCAGATCCTCTCTTTCTATACAGCTGCCAAAGCAACCCTCCAAAAGCACACATCTAAAATGTCATTTTCCTACTCAAAAATCTCCAATAGTTCCATACTGCCTCTAAGACAATAAAATATATTCTCAATCTGGCACCAAAAGCCCTTCACCACCTTTTTCCAACCTATCATTCCAGTCTCATTTCATAAAACTCTCCTTCTATCCATCCTATGTTGGACAAACTGTTTATTCCCAAATTAGTATTCTATTACACTTCTGTACCCCTTGCTTAGATTGTCTCTCCACTGCTCCCTGCCCCCAACATCCATTCTATGGATAGATTATCTCCTTATCTCTAACTCTTAAGAGTTCTTAGCTTATTTCAAGGTTCAATTCCAGCGTCAAATGACACAGAAAGCCTTTTCTTGTCCTCCTAGTTATCAGTTGTCTCTCCTGCCTCAAAGTATTCTTTATTTGCTTATCTGTTACCTACTGTATTCCCCAGTAGAATATAAGTTCCATGTAGGCAGAAACTGTTTTGGTTTTGTCCTTCTAACCTCAGTACCTAGCATAGTGCCATACACATCATAGACCTTTAATAAATACTTGTTGAAGTGATCAAGAGCCAGGAATTGCTTCCAGGTCTTCTAACTCCTAGCCTAGCACTTAATTCTGCAAAAGAATGAACTGACCTTGTGTCAATTCTAAGCTTCCTAGTTTTCCAGTGTTGAAAAGCTATCGTCTAGAAGAGGGATTTCACTTGTCTTTATTAGCCTTGGGAGTGTGAGCTAAAAAACAATGGATGGAAGTTGCCAAGAGGAAGGTTTTGATTAATTATAAGGAAAAAACCCGCCTCTATAACAACCAGAGCTGTCCAAAAGTGTGGCCTACTTGAAGAGCACAGTGCATTCTCCCTTGATAGAGTTCTTCACAAAGAGGGCAGATGATCCTTCAGGGGGATCATTGTGGAAAGGTACTATTAAAAGGACGGGATCTAAATATCATGCTCTGTGTGGCACTAGATGACTTCTGGAATCCTTTCATTTCTGAGATTAATCATCTTAATTCTTTGCCCATTGCTAGATTTCAACTTCCAGAGTCCCAGAGACTTCATTACTTTCTTCCTACTATCATTCATTATCAGGACTCTTAACTGTTTCTTTTAAACATTTCCAAAACACTTTAAATAACCATGGATCAAGCAATGCAGATATAATAAGAAGATTCTGAGTGTCCTAGATAAAGTGTCCTTATGGTCAGTTGATTCTTCAAATTCATCCAAAGGAACTCTTTGTCATTACTATTTCAATTTAATTAACCCATTTATCCTGAGGCATAGTCAGACACTACCAATCATGTCTAGACCATGGTTTTCTGATTTTTAAGAGGCATTTCATTCCAGTAGGGTTCCCTGCATTTAATTAAATGTTACTTTGAGTGTCACCATAGCTGAGTCTCAACATTTTTATCCACACTACAGAGGGAAAGCATACACCACAAGCCAATGGGGAATAATGGAAAACAGTGGGGATGATGGTTCTAAAGTACCATGAGCCAGACTTGATCAATATGAAGCTCAATTAGCAGAAGAGACATCAAGGAGAAAGGGGAAAATGAAAAATTATTCTGTGTGCACATCAAGTATAAGGCAAATACTGATGCATTGTTAGATATACTTGTACATCTTCAAGGCGACTTGTATTGAATTAGTAAACAGCTTACTGATATAATAACAGGTTATACCTACATTGGGCTTTAAGGCTTACCAAGCCCACACCACAAAACCACTCTATGAAGTAGGTATAAAAGTCTGAATACATCCACTTGACAGATGAAGAAACTGAGGCTCAGAGCAGGTACATGACATGGCACATAGTAAAACACTGGGGCTGGAAGTCCAACTCAGATACTTCTACCTTCTACATCAGCTTGCTTCCTACTATACTACAACCATAACACCTAGTCTAATACCTTGACAGTCTTAGGAAAATACCTAATTCTCCTGAAGGGGCTCATCCCCTTCCTTAAGTTAGCTTCATTACTAGTTCAGAAATAAGACATTCATATTCAGCTTCCTCTGTAATTATTCTGAGTTCTGAGTCTCATCCTTCCAGATTTCTTTGCTGATTCAGGGAATTATTTAAGAAACCAAAATGTGGTGCCCCATCAAATTCACCAAGCAGCAAAAAGGCCAGAAGAATACCCCAGGTAAATGTGACATTAATAGAATTCCATTAAATAACTAAAATTAGTTGGGACTACAATTAAGTTCTGTATCTTCCTCTGAAAGAAGAAATTCAACTATACAAATTTTTCTCTAATAGCACATGTCATCAAGTCCCCTCTTTGCTGATTCTTCATATGAGGCATTCACTCTGCAGTACAGTACATGTAGCTTGCATGACAAAATGATGCAGTAGGAGGTATGCTAGCAGTTGAGGAGTTACAAAGGTTTCTTTTAAGAGCTTTCCCCTCTGTTATAGATATATATTCTTCATATTTCATTTTTTTTTACTTCTAGAGTGCAGCTGATAAATTCATGATTTCTTAGAAACAATGCAAGTTATAATGCCATCTTAATCAATTTTTTTTTTACTTCACTTAATGTAAAAAAGGTTTATTTTGTTTCAACTAATATGCAAGACACTGTTCTTGGAAACAAGAGAGAAACATGGCATTTATTAAATACTCACAATGGGTTTTTAAAAAAAGTTTTATTGACATGTTTTGTTTTTATATTACAAACATTACTAGATTATCACCAGTCTAGAGTTCTCTCACAATAAAATAAAACAATTAAGCAAAACAAATGATACAAGACCCTTATCTGGAAGTGTATGCAACATACCACACCTATAATTTCCCTCCCCTAAACTCTCTATTTAAAAAAAATTAACAGACATCTACTTTCTCTCCCCTCATTCCACCTCAATTGAAGAAAAAAAGAGGAAAAAAGCAATTCCTTATAACAAAACACTGGTATAAAAAAATAACAGTCATGGGCTCTTAGTAGCATAAATTTAGAATTGAAAGGTATCTCACAGACCGCCTAGTGATTCTAGTCTAATCCTCTTATTTTACAGATGAGGAAACTGAGGCTCAGAGCAGTTAAGTGATTACCTAAGGTTACAGGTGGTAAGTATCACATGAAGGACTTGAAGCCCAGACCTCTAATTCCAGAGTTGTATCTATCCTCAAGGAACTTAGGTTCTACTGGAACTGAGGAAGAACATGATATGTGCACAGACAAGTATAATACAAGGTAGGCTATGATAGAGGCAAAGAAGGCAGAGAGGCATTTCCCTCAGGAAATTTATTAGAGAGGGCATTTTTAGCTAACGGTTTCAGGGAAGGCTTTATAGAAAAAAAATAGCATAGAAGTTGAGTCTTGAAGGAAGAGAAGGGTTGTAATAGGCAGAGATGAAGAGGAAGTCCATTCTCACTACAGGGAATAGCTTGTATGAGGACAGAGGTTAGAGATGGTAAGTTCTGGGAATAGCTAATGGTCCAATTTGGCTAAAATAAAGTTAGAATGTATGAAGACGAGTAACAGAAAGTTGGAAAGAGTTAGCACCCCTTTATAGAGGGGTTAATCAATAAATCAATAAGCATTTATTTAGCACCAAGTGTGTGCCAAGCACCACGCTAAGTGACAGAGATACAAAAGCAAAAAAGTGATATGCTACTTGACCTCAAGAAAGTTTCTCTTCTGTTGGCTAAGAATTTTATACTTATCCAAAAGGGAATAGGGAACCACTTGATGGTTTCTAAGCAGAGGAGTTGTATGGTTAGACCAGGGGTGGGGAACCTTCAGCCTCAAGGTCACATGTGGCCCTCTAGATCCTCAAGGGTGGCACTTCAATTGAATCCAAACTGAAAGGGCCACACTTGAGGACCTAGAGAGTCATGTTGGGCCTTGAGGCCACAGGTTCTCCACCCCTGGGTTAGACCTATGATTCAGGAAAATATTTTCGTAGCTGGGTGAAGGATGGAGCCTATGTACAAGAATGATTTAGGAACTTACAATTTAGTTGAAGAGATAAGACATACAAAAATAATTAAAATAAAATAAAAGGCAGTACCACCATAAGAATGGCACAGATAACTGCTATAGGAGTTCAGAGGAGGAAGAGATCATTTATGACTCAGGAAATCAAGGAAGGTTTCATGGAATAGGAAGTGGGATATCAATCAATCAACAAAACAATGAGCATTTATTAAGCAACTACTATGTGCCAGGCACTGTGTTATGCTCTGAGGATCCACAGATAAAAATTAAATCTTCAAATCTTAAACCTTTAAAGTAGCTTACATTCTATGAAGGATAAGAGAATAGGAACTGAAGAATTCAGTTTAATTCAACAAACATCTATTGAGCCCTTACTGTACTCAGATAACTGTCCTGGGGTTGGAAATCATAAACAAACAACCCTCAACCCCTGAAGATGAAAACTATCCCTGACCTGAAGAAGCTTACAGTCTACTTGGGTGGAAGGTCTCTGAATGGCAGACAGTGTGGTTGGGGAAGACCTTTAGGGTAGTAGGAATAGCATTATACTCTTGCATACTTATCCTTCAAAGGATGACCAACTCAATTTTAAATAATTCAGAGCTTTTATGATCCAAGCTATTTATGTGTCCTCCTCCTGGTCTACCTTTCAGTTGGATTGTGGCTCCTTAGCACCCCCACCCCCCCCGAGTGTGCATGAAGAAGCCACATTTGTCCTATGCTAGCACTCACTACTGAAATTGCCAGTTGGTTGACAGACCTAAAATGGTAAAAACAAGGTTTCATGATGGCAGGTTTTAATTATATTCACCAGCCCTAAGTTTGTTATCAAAGGCAATTTATAAAACCAAGATTTATTGCTGGGGGTGGAAACCTTAGGAGTAATTTTTAGTATAACCCCCTCATTTTACAGATGAGGAAAATGATGCCCCAAGAGGGGAAGTGGCTTGCCCAAGGTCAAACAGGTAGGAAGTAGTTGATCCAAGCTGTACCATCATTCAAGCTACTGTTATTTTTAGTAAGTGTGGCCACCTTTGTGGTAAATGTTACTCCAGACACTGTTTAAACCTCTAATGTCATATACTGTTAATTAAAGATTTCAATCTTTAGTACTTCCAAAATTTTTATGTTGAAATGACATCAAAAATTTTAGGTAACATGGATAAATTGAGGCAGAAAATATTAGTAAACTTTCCATTTAAAATGTAACAAGTAAATATAATTTTACAACTGATGAACTAAGATGATTAAATAAATTGAATATATTATACATATTACTGCTTTGCTTATTTCATACAAATCACTATTTTTTTCAATGATGTTTACAAAGCACACACACAAAAGGGCACACACATGTGCATGGGGTTTGAATACACACACTCGTATTTAGAATCCAAAATAGTAATTTAATGACTATTTATAAAGATACATTTGAATGGAATAAGTTCATATAGTAAGACCTCATGGATTCACAAATAACAAGGAAGAGGGAAGGAGTCATGTCTAAATTCAAGAAGAGTCTAAGTTATATAGGTTTGTTAAAAAAACTTACTACCTTCAAATACATATTCTTTATAAATAGGCAAAAGATGCAGAAGTGTTAAAGCAGAATAAATTATAATAACTCATATTTACATACTGCTTTAATGTTCTTAACATTCAATATTAATAACACTCCCAAAAGTCTTGTGCAAGGTAATATTAATGTTATTATCCACACTGGAATAATTAGGAAGCTCAGGTAAAGAGATTTGCCCAAGGTTCTAACTTCTAAGTGTCAGGTGTAGTAGACAGAGCATTGCTCTTGAAGTCAGGAAGACCTGTTCAAGTCCAGCCATTAGACACTAGCTGTGTGACCCTGCACGAGTCATGTAATACCCTGTGCCTCAGCTTCCTCACCTGTAAAATGAGGGGGATAAACTTAGTGGCTTCTAAGGTTTCTTCCAGTTCTAATGTATGATTCTAATTCCCAGTCCGTAAGACTTTCTACTATATCACTATGGTTATACTCAACATATGAATGATTTATACCCAAATGGGTTTCCAAAATGCTCAGGAACACCTTAAACATTTTTTCTTATATAATTCATCTTCCTCTTAACAATCCAGTTAATTTGCCTAATTAGCCCTTTCCTTTATTGACAATGGAAAGGTATTTCAAATTTAGACCCTATTCAAATTACCAGAGACTCCAAATTAATGAGGTCTTCTTTTATTACTAATTAATGCTTTTCATAAAGTAAATCAAATTTAAAAGCATTATCTTGACCAAGTAAAACATCTGAATGAAACATGTCTGTGTTTAATGAGTGTATGCCTAATCTCTCCTATTACCTTGTTAAGAACCTGAGAGCAATGAGCACCTGTTTTATTCCTCCTTGAAAGAATAAAATCTAGAGCAAGGCCTACGTCAGCATCCCAGCTCTCCTAGTAACTAACTACTTAACTAACTCCCCGTGTGGCCTAAAACAAGTCATTACACCTCTCTGAGCCTCATCTGCAAAATGAGGGCGTTGGACATGGAAGACTTTGTAAAGTCTAAATCTAAGACCTTTCCAGAGCCTGGCACAGTGCCTTGCACGCTGTAGTAGCATTCAATAAGCATTGGTTAATTGAGCCTTCTTTTAGAGGCCTTTACTATCTTAAGACAAAGATATACAAAAGAAGCAATTACTAGAAAACTAGAACTAACAAAAGTAGGGGCAAAAAAAATGGGCATGTGTAAGAGTATATTTGGTGGAAAAGTTGCCAAAAATAAAATCTCTTATGGAAATACATGAACTAAATGAAATTATAGTTCTCTTCTGGATTTGCTATCTATTCTCAGCATTTTAGGAAAAATGATCATCTAATCCAGCCCTTTTATCTTACAGATGAGGAAACTGAGCCCCAGGGAATGTATGGGACATTCTCAAGGTCACACAGGTAGTAAGAGGCTGAGGATTTAGAACCCAGGTCATTTGACTCCCAATCTGTTGTTTCCTCCAAAACTCTCTTCCCTTTCTACAGGGACTCAAATTCTTTTAATAAAGCCTCTACTAGGACACATGGTTAAATTTGGTGGGTGACCCAGGATACTCGGCAGTTAAGTAATCTAAAAAATTGGAACTCGCTGATATTATCTTAAATCAGAATTTCACAAACTATCAAAAAAATTAAACCTAGACAAGAAGCTGTGATCACATCTGTATTTTGTGAGCAGGGATTAAATAATTTGTGAGAAAAGAACACTGTATAAATTATACATACTCTCTGGTGTCATTTAAAAAAATTCTGTGCCATGGATTTGAAATGCTTTCTGATTAAACATATTGACTTATTTTAATAGAACAGTTTCCCATGTGCTCCAAATAAAACTTTCAGAGGGAAAAAAAAAACAAAACATGATATGACTTTTATTTCCAACTGGAAAAACCACAAATTCCAAGAAGTAGGCTAATTTACATGGGAATCAATGCCAAGTTATCTTTCCAAAGCTGTTACTAAAAATGGCACGTACCTTAAACATTTGTCAACATATAAAAAGAGTAATAATACTAACATGTTTTATGCTGCTTTAACTTTTGCTGTGTTTTATGTAATGCCACCTCATTTGACACTCATAGCATTTAATTTTGATTGGTATTAAAAGTACAATTTATGTATGTATGTAAGTGTGTGTGTGCGCGTGTGTGTGGAGAAAGAGAGAGGGAGAGGAGTATATTAAATTTTGTTGTGAAAACTCAAAATTAGACTAAAAAGTCTAAAACAATTCTTAATATTTTCAGCATATGCAGTACTTTATTAAATATGCCAAAATGGTAAATGAGTTCAGATCAGAAATATAAACAATTTTCCCTTTAGACAAAGTCATGGAGAATAATCCTTCATTTTCAACCTTTCATCTTCAAATTGAATATATAGAATTTTGTCACAGTGGGGAGAAAATCATTTCTGTTATCGGGATCTGGGGATTGGTAGTTAACCTGGGTATTCCAAAGGTCACTACCTCTAGAAAACATAGTTGCGAATATCAGAATAAAAGGCAGAAGGTAGAGGTGCAGACAGCATGGAGCAATGAGATGAACATTCGCTTTTCAATCAAAGGATTCTGGTTCAAATCTCACATCTCATAGCTGACTGACTGTGAGACCATGGATATGTCACTTAACCAGCCTGGGCCTCAGTATCCTCCCCCGCAAAATGAAAGTCTTGGGTTAGATGGTCTCTGAGGTCCCTTTCTAATACTAAACTCTCCTTTAGGAATCCTACAGTCCACACCCTGAATTGAATCTTATGCTATTCAAATGCATCCTAACTCAGACACCAAAAGTGGGACATCAGAGAGATAGCAGAGGGAAAAGAATCTTTTTCAAGATTTCAAGGACCTGAAACTGGCCTTTTTTGGTCATTGGAAAATTTGTAAACATTCCCTTCCTCTTCATTCTATCATTAACTTCAAGGCATGTGGGACAAACAGTGGTGAACAAGACCTTCCTCTATGAGGGAGGTCTAAAAATCTCCTGTAATCCTACATCTCACCCAGCAGGCACTAAGCAGACCTAATTCTCTTAGGAATCACTTTCTTGATAGATAAAGTTGGGAACAGATAAACTTTCAGTTTAACTTTTGTCCCTTCCTAGGCAAAAGTAGTCCGGTATTTTGGACATGAAAGATATCCCAGAAACAGCTACAATCCAACTAAGGAGAAAAGTATGTAGTCTGCACACATTTAGGACGTATTTTTATAACATTTTGAAAGCCCTGTTTTTTATTTCATCTTAAAAGGATGGCCCCCATTAGTCAGGCTCAAACCATATTTGTGAAGATGTTTTATGTTATGGTGGCTAAGCCAGCTCAAAATATAGTAGTTAAACAAAATAATTACCATAAAATTTGGAGCCTGATAGCTGAACCACAGATGACAGTTAAAAGCCATTCACTGATAGGGGCCATCCTTCTGTGATTGACTCTAATTTGGCTGAGGTGAAGCAGCCCACTCTCAAATACTAAAAACTGAAAAACCAAAGTCAGTTGAAGCCGCCAAGGCTGACGCATCTGGGCCCCTTTGGAGAGGAATGGACACACAGATGGGCTCTCCGATTGCAGAGCTTGTTAGATATTGGGTACATCTCAGCTAGTCTCATTCTGTGGGTTCCGCTAAATGACACACTCACTCTCTCTCTCTCTCTGAAGTTCTCTGGGGGACTGGGAGAATCCAGTGGAGACAGTGAATTCTCAACAGGCCTAATCATCAGGTTACTTATTTCTCCAGCTCCTCAGTGTCTAGGTAGGAGATGAGCCTTCTCCAACAAAAGGCTCAGAATAATGCAACTGGGGTCTTCCAAACAAAGAATAATTTCAATTCTACACTTTTCATTGCCCTTCCAGAATTCACCCTTCCTAGATTTTAAAACTACTGTTATTCTGACTTGTGGTTCCTTTAAGTCCAGCATGTGGCAGATATTTTTTCCCAAGAGTAAAAATCATATTCCCCACTCCCCCCAGGTAATTCTACATTTCACAAAAGAATTAATTTTCAACATAGTTCCATATCTGCTAACTTTTCTCAAGGTGTAATAATTACTTCAAAATTAAGCTTATTACAAGTAAGGATTGTTTCATTTTTTGCACTTCTATCCTCAGAGCCGATGTGCCTGGCACATAGTAGGTATTCAACAAATTCTTGTTGATTGATGCCAAATGGTGATACCGTCTGACTTCAACTCTTTGTTTTGCAGATTGCCTCTTATCCCCAAATAAGCAGTTTAATTAGGGTTGTGGTAACTCATGATTGACCAGAAGTCATGGTTTCCCCCATATCTTATAAGGACCTCACCTGAAACTTGGGACATGTCCTGAGCCTCATCGGTTTCCATTTTCCTCAGGTTATCTGAGAAAGAGAAGAAGCAGTTTTAAGTTAAAGCAAAATACTAATAAAAAAAGAGAGAGAGAAAGAGAAAGAAAGAAAATCTTAGCTATTTAACAACAAGGTTATCTGGCAGGAATAATGTATTTTCCTCTTTATTTCCCTCTTCACATACTTGCTGGGGTATCAGACTGGCACAGACCTTGATCCTTTTAAAAACAGCATTACAAAGATTTATAAAAATATCATTACAAGCACAGGAGGACCAAATTTGTTATTTATTGTTAATTTCCTACTGCATAATAACCCAAAATGCAAACTGACTGCAACAAAATTAAGCAGAAAATTAAATGGCCCTGGGTCATTGTAGGCACAGAATTCATTCTCTTGGCTGATCCATAGTTATGTTCTTTCTAATTTACTGAGCATGCATCGATGAACCTTGAGTCAGCTTGGTGACACGCGTACAATCAGCAATCAAAAAACGAAGCAATTTGCTGAAGAATGTCTCATTTACGCAGGCAGGGCTGCATATCTGAGCAGCAACTGCGCTACCTCCATTAATAATGAATACACCTCAAGCCGTGGCAGATGGGCAAAAAAACAGCAGCTTCAGTCTTTGTCTCTCACTCTTTGAAGCCCTTGCTGCAGACCCTACCAGCTCTTCAACGTAGGGAGAAGTGAAGCTCCCTAAAATAGCGAAACAAGCCCAGGAGAGAAAAGGAACCCAAGTCTTCCTGTTTTGCTGACAGATGGCTGGCTCCTTGGATGGGTGACAAATACTGGGAAGCTTCTATCCCTCTGTTGCAACACTTAGTGCTTCATTAGACGGAGAATCAAGTCACCATAAACACCAGGGAGAGAAACACTAGGGGTCAGTGGGGTAGAAATGAAAGTTTTCATTTGGAGCCTTGGCCTACAAGTTGAAGGTCTCCAGTGCCTATGGTTGAGGACATCTGGCGGTAGCTCCTTGGAAAATAAAAGCATGACCAGAAGAAGAGAACCTCAGCAAAATCTCCTGTTTTGTTGGCAACCCAAGTAACCTTTGAGGGGAAATGTTCCCTTACCGATGAATGCTTAGTCTACTTGCTGGCTATGAATTGGCTTGCTCTTCTGTCACCTGTTTCTTTATCACAGGTGATTAGATTTAAGGCTAGTGGCCTGTTTTCAGCCAAGAACTTCAAACTGGTGGATGCTCTGTTTGGCCTAATTCTCTTCCAATTGGGAAGGTACAAAATGCTCCACATCTTCCCTATCTGCCACAGTACTTGGCAGAGTCATAGCAAGTCAATAAATATTTGTTGAATGGTTTAAAGGATAAAAATGTGTTGCTTCTCATTTATTCAGAAGACAGTAGCACATATGCTCCATACAGCATTGTTATCTGTAATGGTGATGTATTTGCACTCAATCATTTATCGTCATTCTCAGTCCAATGTAACGAAAATTATGTATTCTATAGAAGAACTGGTTGGAGTTGGGGATACACAGAACACGAGCCAGGTGTCAGGGGAGTGGGAGTTGGGGAGAGGAAGGCAATGTTAATGCTTTCTTTCAAGTATGACTGTGTACCCAGGCCCATGCTCTATGCACACCTACAAGTACAATCTGCAACCATGGAACAGAGCAAAGCTAAATGCCTCATATGGAGAGGCATTAAGTAGTATTAAGCCTTTGACCTTGGCTTCATGATCACAGTACTCAAATCAACTGAGCCAACCCACCATAGGCAAGTAGGAAGAACAAAGCTCATGGTATAATTACACAAAAGCAATGTTTTGAAAGTCTCAAAGAGCTCTGCCTTTTTTTTAAATGCTTCTCTTAATACTGGAATTATAGGTTGCAGATTAAAATAAAACAGAAAACTCTTCATCTGAAGCTTCTATGCAGCGCTAACATGCTTTCCCTGAGGAGTTCTGAGCTCTTTCCTCCTCTGAAGGAAAAGCCATTTTTGCCAAGCACAGTTTTATTACAGTATATTATCATTTGATCCCAGAATATCATCAATTGAATGGTAGCAATGTTGCAGGACAGGTCATACCCACTCATCAAGCCCTTCACTCCCTTACCTCCTCCAAAAAATGATCACAATGAAAATCTCCAACAAAAAAATAATCCCTAAAGCCCCAGTCAATGTCACCTTTATTTCAAATAGCATCACTCTCATTCTTCCAGTATTTATTAAGCACTACACAGCATTGTGCACAGACTTCCCATTCATCACATAATCTGGATAGTGTTTTGAAGCTTTTGTCTTTTGTTTTAAAGAATGAGGTTTGACCTCATAGGTCCACTGGCTGAGGTAATGTTGGGGTGCTTAGGTAGGAGCAAGAGTGAGTATAGTGAGCATTGCTCTGTTCCACTCTAATTGGGCATTATCTATCTTAACAAATGCAGGTTAATGATTATGAGATGATTGGTAAAACAACGCGGATAGATCTGTGGAAAAAAACATAACCAATATTCAAAAAACAGCTAGAGCAGTGGGATCACTATTGTATGCTACATTGTGTCCATAATGGTCATTATATTTTGTTAATACATATGTGCTATTTGGCATTATTTGTATTTTGTTTCCTTGCTAAAATTCAAACACCAAAAGTTTTTTAATGTTGATAACCTAGTCTCTGGGAAATCACTCCATGTTCACTAATATATTTGTACAAAAGTTGAATCCAGCCTGATCTGATGTCACAGGGAATAAATTTTTATTTCCCCTAAATTCTCCCCAAACTCCAAATTTGCATCTTTTTTTCTGCTGAAAAGGCAGCGACTGGTGTTTTGATTTGGGTAAAGATAGTGAAAGATGTCTTCAGGAGGAAGGAACTGTGTTTTGTGAAAAGGATATTCTCATACAGTAAAGAAGGAAGACAACTGATTTTGACAAACATTACCTCAACACTTTCTGATTACATTTAGGCACTGTCTTAGATACTTTAAGACCTAGGATTTACTGGATGTTATATAGTAGGAGAAGCTAACAATAACTGCAGATTATTAAAGAGAAAGTGCAATTCTAAATCCACATGGTTCTGCTAAAACAATCCAGTACACGATTTAAGGGAAAATACTATCTTGAGGGACAAAAGAATCCTTTCAACTTCTTTCTTACTTTCCCCAGAAAATTTTGACAAAATGATCCAAATGACAATAAAGTCATGGGAAAATTCATAAATACTAATGTACTATAATCTTTGGTATGTTTAGTCGACAAACATTTGTTAACATGCTTACTATACACCACTATGCTCAGTGCTGGAGACACAAAGAAAGGCAGAAAGAATCCCTGCCCTCTAGGAGCTTACAATCTAACAGGGGAGGTATGAACCACTTTGTCACTTCTATGGGGTAAGCAATAACCCCTACTATACAAAGAGTAAGAGATTCAGAGTTAAGCGATTGGCCATAAATCCCAGAAAATGTGAACAGAAGACAAATGTATGTATATATATATATATATATATATCCTCTCAATTTTGACTGCTTTTTTTTTTTATTAATTCCAAATAAACTTGTCTTACTAATCAAATGTTTGAAGTAGAAATACTTGCACTTCAGTATATTTCATTTTACTCAGTTAACTAGAAGACTTCAGGAGAAGGGGAAGGAAGAGGAAGAACAATGAAGAGACCGGAAGAACCATAAATACAAACAACTGAAATGTGAAAAGACCCAAGGCCAGTGGAATGACCTTTGATATCGGCCACCCAGAAATCTCACACTACCATTCTAGCCCCCTTTCTAGTCAGGGCTGTTTTTAGATTCAGTAAGTGTTCTGAAATACTCTCTTCCTCTCTATATCTTACAGAAGACAAGGAGAACTGCAAAGAGCTAGGCATATCCAATATCCCAGAGTAGTTTTTGTTTCCAAGATCAAAGCCAGGACAGTTTTTCCTTAAGTTCCTTTCATCTCCTTCAGAGCATCAGTCAGTCAGTCAATTAACTAGTATTTAGGGAGCACCTCTTATTTGCTAGGCACTGTGTCAAGCACTGTACAGATACAAGAATGGCAACCCCCCCAAAAAAAAACACAAAAAAACAACAGTCCCTTCTCTCAAGGAGCTCATAACAGACCAAAGAAACTTCCGTTGGTAGTGAGCGTGCGAACCGGTTCAAACTGCATTTCCCTGAAACACCTTACTAGAACAGCCTAATTCCGCTATTGTCAAAATATAACCCAGTCCACGGTGTAGACACATTCATGAGACAGAGAATTTCCCTAGAGTGGGGCCTAGCACTGTCAGAAGCTGAAACTGGAACACAGGACATTTTCTCTTTGCTTTCTTTAGACTGCTGATTACTTTCTTCCTCAACTATGAATTGATAATATTCCTGAGGTAAATCTATTAAAAATATTCCCTTTGCAATAAAAATAAAATTGTTTTTAGCAGACCAAGTGGGGGCGAGTATTATTGAAGAGTTTGAATTATGGAATATATTTTTAAAAGAAATGCACTCTACACCCGGTCTTATTTTGTTTTGTTTCGCTGCTAACCAGCCTCTAGGTACATTGGCCCCCTACCCCCAACTATTTAGAATGTTTTCTGTCCCTGTCTTCTGATGTTAAACAGCTTTCTCTTTTTTTCAACTGGCTTTTCAGGTACTTTCAAGAAGCCATTTTTAATCACCACCCCATCCTCAAAACACAGAGCTACGAGTGATTTCTCCCTACTCCCAAATCTTATGATAAGGTCTCTCATTTACTTACATTATGATTTTTATCAGTTATTTCTGCATTTAACTTATTTCTCTTCAAGAGTATTAGCTCACTGAAGGCTGAGTCTATTTCTTGTTTCATATTTATCAATTAATAAATCAATAAACATTTGTTAAACACCTACTATGTGTCAAGCACTGGGGATTAAAAAAAAGAGGCAAAAGAAAGTCCCTGCCCTTGAGGAGCTCACAATCTATTGATTGATAACTCCAAGAACAATACCTTGCACGGGGCAAGCTTAGCTCATGTCGAAATGAACTGAATTGAAATACAGAGTTATAATTTTCAAGATGACAGAAATTGTGCTCAATCAAGTTCTGTCCAGAAGAGGTTCAGCCCAGTTTGTTTTAATGACAGACAGAGATCACTTATAATTAGTGCATTCATTGTCTGGAAATAGCAAGGCTCACAGGAAAGCCCAATCAGAGAACTACTGTTAAGTTCTGGACACTTGGGAGGTAGCAAGGCCTGATGTGCAGGACACAATGGCCTTGGAGTCAGGAAGACCTAAGTTCAAATCCTAACTTACACAACTACCCTGGGCCAGGTATTTCACCTCCCTAATTTGTTTCCTTGTCCGTAAAATGGGATTAATTATACCTGTGGCACTTACTTTACAGGATTGTTGTGGAGGTCAGATAAAGAAAACTCATCTAAAGACTTTGCATATCTTAATGTACTATACATACATATGTTATTATACTTCTTCCAGTGTCTACTAATTGATATTTTCCTTTGACATAACAAATTATATTTGAATGAAGTCTAGAAAAATTTCCCTGTTCTGTCAAGCTTCTTTTGGGAGGTGCAGGCAGCAACAATAACATTATAATCTATTTGGAGTATTTTAGGACCCAGGCTTCTTAAATAAAACTGTATTATTTTTGTAGCTAAGCAAGTTTTTTTTTTCTTTATGATAGTGGTAAATTTTCTTTCTGCAAATGTCCAACATCACTGTGAATTATGTTGTATTTCTGAAAGAAATGCTCACAGATGAGAGTAAGGCACTGTGCAGATTCATAGTATCTTGAAAAGAACCCCATATCAATTTTTTTGACTATTTAACCAAAGTGTGTGTTTGGAACACACAAAACCACGTAGTCTTGTTTCATTTCTAATTCTTTTGAATTTTCAGATAGCCCCTAGTCTTGACATTTTTACTCTTATTTTGCAAAGCATTACTAACTAGTAGGAAGAACAAGGAAAACAAGGACTGAATTAGAAAGTAAGGAATTCTGTTTAGCTAATCTGATTTTCTTTCCATGTTGAAATGAAGCACTGAAAACTGGAAACAGGTTATTCTAAGGGCACAATTTACCACCTGCCTTTGTTCTGGGGGGGCATACAAGTTCAAACATATAATTTTGCATTAGCTTTTAAAAAAAAATCCTATTGAGTGTGAAATGATATATTAAAGAAGAGCCAGAAGGAATTGCTGAAACTTTCTGAAAATATAGTTCAAAACCATTGTTTAAATGGCTGTTTGGTAAAGAAGAATTTGAAAATGACCAAATGATAACCTGTTTTAAAAGTGAACCAGAGGGACAGCTTGTTGACTCACAGAGTTTCCAGAAAGGAAATGATAGCACTAGAAATTTTTACAAAATGGCTCCACTGGGATGGTGAGTGGCATGGCATTACATAAACTGCTGAACTCGAGTCAGAACAACCTGGTTTGAATTCCCATGTTTGACACTAGACTCATGACCATAAGCAAGTCACTGAACCTCAGTTTCTCCTCTGGAATATGGCAATAACAATACCTGAATTATTTCTACTTTGTGGTGAGGATTAACTGGAATACTGGCAAAGCACTCTGAAAACTAAAAAACTCTATTAAAACGTCAGCTTTTTTAATGGTCCTATACCTGGGGTTCATTAACTCGAACATTCCTTCACTCTAACAATAAGTTAACGACAAATCCTTAGTAATTTCCCCAAATTCAAATTAGTTTTCTACCCTTCTGCCTATTATTTTAATATAAGTAGAAATTCTTTTTTTCCCCAGCTTTCCTACTGAATTTAAAAGGAACTACACACATGCACAAGACTTATAAAGTACTCCTAGAAAAGAGAATCAAATATCCTAAGAAAAG